AAATATTTAATAATGGAGATTAACTTGCCTATTGCTAGCAATATATCTTGTTAGATCTATTTCTTTGCATTCCAGCTTAAACCAATTGCGCAAGCCTTATATCATTCCATTTTTAACCGACTTCAAAAATAAGATTCTCAATTCGGTTTTATTTTTGTTTGTTACCTCATAATTCCGTAGGTTTTAAATCGATTTGTGAAATTATTTTTTTCCCAGAACGGATATACATACATATTGGTCCCATAGGAATATTATCAAAATCGATTCAGTGATTTAGTTTTTAAATCAAAATAAATGGTTTTATCACATTTGAAACACTATATTAAATTGTCATATATTAAAAAACCGCCCCTAAGGATATCCACTGACCAAAAAGAGACCTGCACAATTGTTTTTTATACATGAGAATCTGACGGAAGATTTCCCACATTTTTTATTAAAATTCAGTGGTATGATGAGCATATGATATGCACCAACATTTTGTTATAAGATATTCGTTAATTTTAATTTACCAAGCATGCCTAATATCATATTCATCACGTAAGCAACAGTTGACAAATGCGTCTCTTCATCGCGTTAAATATTATAATCGTCGGCATATTTATTATAATTAATTATATATGTTGCAGTCAAAATTCTTAACCAGTCAAAAGTACTATTGACTAGCAAAATCAGTCAAAAGTGGTTTTGACTAAAGAATACGGTTAGTCTAACCTGCCTACCTAACGCAAATTTGCGGGGGGAAAGGGATTGTTAGTAATGGAGACTGAGAATCCTATTGCTACCAATTTACCCAACTAGGTCGACCTCCTCGCGGTTCCTCCTGGAAACTATCATGGCTGTTTCCATTCTCATCGATCACCCTTCACTGGTGCTTCGTCAGCGTATCCCGTCAGTGCAGGCGGGGTAACCATACCATTTTCATCCATCAAAAAAAAAATTATGTTCATCGATATTAAAGTACCTCTATTTAATTGATTAGACATTATTTACAGTTTCTATTTAAGTGACCATACCATTTTCACACATCAAAAAAAACGAAAATTTTCAGTCAAAACCACTTTTGACCAACCTGTTCAAAAGGACTTTTGACTGATTTTGCTAGTCAATAGTACTTTTGACTGGTTAAGAGTTTTGACTGCAACATATATATTTATAATTTCATTATTGTTTTAATTAAATTGCAAGGACTTCAATCATCAATGAGATCTCCTTTATAATCCACCACCGTAGTCATAAAAACCATGACTTTTCTATCAAAACTGGTTGACCCTTTAATTATTTTAATATTATGTCGTAATAAATTATGAGTATTTAGTGTCTCTCGCTCGCCCTCTTGTCCCTTTTAAACATTTTCAAAGCCTAACTATGGTTGCCAATCCGCCTGTAAAGCGTGGCAACTACTGGCAAAACTCCCCAAAAGGGAGGTTTATGTTCAACAGTGGAAAATCAAAATGTTGATATAATTACGATGATTAAACATTTTGTGTTACCCCTTTCCTTTGCCGTAGGTATTGTAAGAGGCGACTAAGGGAACTTAACAGTCGAAGGATGGGCAGCAGCGTCCCTTTTAAAACATCACTAAAGCCTGTTCAACAATCCGGCTGCCAAGCGTGGCAATTACTTTTTTTTTATACAACTTTGAATGGCAAACAAGCTGACGGCCCACCTGATGGAAAGTAGTAACCGTCACCTAAAGACATGAGCAGTACCAGGGACATAACAGAGTATACTGTTTCGCCCATGATACCCCCCATGCGTTGCCATTCCTGAGGTATCAGGTGTTATTCCTCTGTACCCAGTAAATTCACGCCATATCCCACACTTCAAACCGAAACACAACCATGCAAACACAGCTGCTTCACGGTTGAAACACGAATGGGACAGAGGTACCCAAGCAATCGACTTTTGTACAAAACCCCCCAATAGGAGAAGGCCTATACTATGATATAACATGATGATGATGATGATGAAATATTTTGTGTATCGCTTCAGAAAATATGTACGTACGTTATTACGTATGTAGGTAGGTATATTTACTTACCTATTTAAGTGGTACTTAAGTTACCACTCTCATAGGCAGCAGTGTTAGCGACCTTTTAAAATTAAATATGACAGTGATGTCAAATAACATGTTTGTTCTTGCTTACCACATCATAACAACATATCCATATCATATTGCTATTATTACTCGATACGGATCTTCCAAACAAACATTATAAAGTAGAATGATTTCATTTGTTTATGATAGATAAATTGAAAAAAAAAATAGTTAAACGATATTGATTTTAAAGACGTTTAGCTTGTGTTTGTACACTTACTAGATCTACATCTAGACTGTAACTAATTCAAATTTTATTAACTATATGTGGCAGCTTTTAATTAAATATATATATAGTTAATTTAATTACATCTCCATCTTTAGAAATAACAGAATTTTACGTCGTGCCTCCGATCAAATTGTTTACATCTCCTTTCCATCCAAAGGTTGCCTGGAAGAGATCGCTTTTAGCGATAAGGTCGCCCATTGTTTTCTCATTGTGATTACTTCTTGTAATTGTTTATATTTATAATAAGTTTACAATTGTAATCTTTTGTAGGAAACAATAAAGAGTAGGTATCTATCTATCTATCTATAAAAGAAGTATCTAAGCGTTTTATTCGTCAAATAAACTAACCGAATATAATTTGTGTTATTTATAGTTGGAATAGTAAATACATACAGATGTCTCGTGAAAGTGTGACCTCTTGAAACCGGCTCGCATCTAAATATTATAACTGACAGTATTTGTCACCGGTGTTGTTAATAGCGACCTTCTAGTGGTAACGTAGCGAACAGTTTAATCGTTAAAATAGAAAAATTCCTCTCGGACATCTTTGTTATCAAACTGAATCTTGTTTCCTCTTAATGTAATTAGATTATTACAACGGTGGTAATTAGCTACCATCTTGGGGGATTGTTAGTAATGCGGTCTACCAGTCCCATTACTAGCAATATACTCTGTCAGGATGATCTCTATGTGATCCCCCTTGGAAACCATTGTGCTGAATTCCAGGTATATTCATCACGATGGGTTGGTCAACTGACCCGCCTCTCCATTCTCACTTACCATCCCTCACTGGTGCCTCACTACTATTTACTATTTCATTATCGTCCATTAAAAAAACTAGTTATCATTTTTATAATTTTTTTGGTAAAAAAAATTATATATATATATATTAGATATAATTTTTTTTATACCACTGTGGTGGCAAACAAGCATACAGCCCACCTGATAGTAAGCGGTTATCGTAGCCTAAGAGCGCCTGCAATATCAGGGGTATTATGGGCGCGATGCCGACCCTGAAGAAACCTCTTTACCTTCTTTTTGAAGAACTCTATGTTGTAGTTTCTAATTCACTAAGCATCTATTTATATCCACTATTATCACTATATCAGCCTTTAAGTGTCCACTGCTGAACATAAGCCGTCCATTTGGAGGGTTTTGCCAGTTGTTGCTATTCTTGGCAGGCGGATTAGCAACCGCAGATAGGTTTTGGAGATGCTTTAAAAGGGGATGTCGTTGCACATTCCTTAATCTCCCTTAGTGGCCTCTTACGACATCCATTTATTTTGATCTAAAAATTAAACTACGGAAGCGATTTTAATGAAATTTCAATCCAATCCCTTTAAGTAAAAAGAAAATAATTTTCCAAATCAGTTTAGAACTGACGGAGTTCTTAACTAGTCTAACTCAATATAAACATATAAACATAAAAAAAGAAATATAACCGAAACGATAACCTTCTTCTTTTTAAAGGCGACTGAAAAATATAGGCAAGTAATTGATCGAACAATAAAACAGTCCAATAGTAGTACAAATATAAAAAAAGACTGAAAGTTTTAATTTGTTACTAATTTTATTTAGAGAATGTTTCTATGAAATTAACTTTAACAAATCACGTTCTATTAAAATAGACTACCTACACTCAACATTACAACTTAAATGCGCCATATCGAAAAACATAAAATTTTACATAGTAGATTTTTTTTTTAATATATAATGTAATTTATAAAAAAAAAATATGTCCTAAAATTCTCACTGAAACAGAAAATAACTAGTTCCGAATGGTGCAACCACAAAAACGACTATTAGAACTTTAAAGCTGTATTTTTGAAAAAACTTAGTGTCTGAGTTTCACTGAAATAGTTTCAGAAATATAAGATTTTTTTTTATGATATTGATTATTATTTTTACTGTTTACTCTAATTTATTTGTTTATTTCTCTTTATTGTTTATACTCTCACGTTTTCATCCCATAATGTCTCGTTCTTCTCAACTGAAATTACATTCCGAATGGGCTTGAAAACCATAAAAGAATTAAATCAAAAATTAAGGAAAATTATTCTTATTCTTACTTTTTCATGATTGAATTTCTATTTTCTATGGAACAAAATTGATTAAAAAAAAAAGTAAGTATCTCGAACAAAACAACTAATTGATACAATAATTAGAGAAAACTAATTATGTTATACATTATAGCGTCGCCACAGATAACAGATCTCTAGTCTGAGACATTCCTTGCAAATTTTGTACACTTCATTTTAATTGAATATTCAATTTATAGATCGTGAACAACTACAGGGCCAGATCTAGGGGCGATAGTCGGGCAAATGCCCAGAACGGAAAAAAGTATACTGTTACCGTGATTAAATCCTATAAAGTACAGAAAATACTATTTTTGTTCCTGGAAAAGCAAAACAGATAAATAGCCTAGACTTGCTACAACAGGTGCTCTAGGGGTAAGGATAGAAGATTTAGCAGATTAGATTCTGCATTAGGACAATATTTACGTATTTCAAACTCCACTGTAAAAGGTAGTACGATGTCATATGTTGGACAAGCAAACTTACGGATGTTAAATTGCTGATGTCCGTTTCTATGCAAATATTACCATAAAAACTAATATATTATAACCGGCTATAAATTTCACCAATCGCTCAAAGACATTCAACATACCTGTTATGGAAGCAACGAGGGAGAGTCGACCCGTTCAGACTAATCTTTAATTTTTCAATCCACTTCCTAAATTTATTCCTGAGCTTTAGATAAAATTTATAGAAAAAAAAACTAACACTTTAAAAAATAAACAGTCACCAAAAAAGTTCAGAGTCCTTCATAATTCCTTCACTTTCGTATTCGTTCCTGATCATTAAAGATTCAAATTCCAAATGCTTAAGTACTCCGTAGAGTAAAAAAATCCGGTAGGTATTTAAAGAATTCGTAAATAGAATGCGTCACGAAATCTATGATGCGTTCCAAGTGAGCATAGAGTAAGCCTGCGTGTTCGCGGCAAAGGTCGGTTATCAACTGGCTGGCGGCGAGAGGCTGGGTGTGTTTGGGGCCGCGTGAATGTAAAGGCTTTTCGATCTGCGATTGCGGATAAACTGGTACCATCGTCGGATATAGCCCGTAAAGGCAAACGAGAACTACCTGTAGGAAGTGTGACAGGCAGGAAGAACATATTATTATTGGTATTCCTTATTCGTAATGATATCGCCGTGAACGCCATGGCCTCATAATTTATAGCTATGATACCGAAAGGTAGTGAGTTTGAATATAATCTACTATATACATATATCTATTTAAATTTTCAACTAATTCTCTGCTGATAAAAAGATTCGAAGGACAACGGATAGCACCTGGCCCGCCGTTCATACGTTAAATGTTTTTTTAATGGATGATAATGGAATGATAACCTCACTTGCGCAATATACGCAGGCGGGGCACTAGTGAGGGATAATAGGCGAGAATGAAAAGGCAGGTCAGTTAGTCCATCCAGATTTTTTTATGGATGACAATGGAATGGTAACCCCGCCAGCGTTATCAGTTAACACTGGCGAGGCATCAGTGAAAGATGATATGTGAGGATGAAAGCAGGCCAGTCGGCCCATCGTGAAGAATTCATCAAGTTTAATCACGGCTGTATCCAAGAAGAACCACATGGAGGTCGACCTGATATATATTGCTAGCAATGGCCCTGTAACAATCCTCATAACTAACAATCCCTTTCCTCCAGGTAATTAGCTTTTTTTAATAGATAATAATTATTTGTTGAGTCAACAAAACCAGCTCTAGTTACAGGTCACTCAATAGTTATTATATCTCATAATGCTTATCGTTGTTTTAATTTATGTATATGTATGTGTATATGTGTATGTATGTATGTGTATGTATGTGTATATATATGCATGTATGTGTATGTATGTGTATATATATGCATGTATATGTATATATATATATATGTATGTGTGTGTATATGTGTATATATTTCATATGTATTAGTTTATCCATATATATTAAAAGTAATGTTTATGTATTATATGTGCATTTCTTATGTGTATATTATATTTATATTGTGTATTGCCTTAATGTGTTACTATAATTGTCACATATTTTTCACCACATCTGCCCTTCATACGCTTTCTGTTTTTACCCAATGGTTAGCTGGTAGAGAATGCCATATGGCATTAAGCTCGCCATTTGTACAAAATTTTATTGTGCAATAAAGAATAAATAAATAAATAAATAAATAATGGAATGGTAGGTCCCGCCTGCGTTAACGATATACGCTGGGGAGCACCAATTAGGAATGATATATGAGAATAAATAGACAGGTCAGTTAGCCTATCGCGATGAATACACCTAGAATTCAGCATGATAGTTGTCAGGGGCGACTATCAGGAGGTCGATCTGACAGGGTATATTGTTTTTAGACCCCATTACTAACAATTCCTTTTCTCCCAAGAAATTAGCTTAGGTACTATCCCTCCTTATAGAGCTATTTATTTATAAAAAACACACCAACAATATGCTCGCAATTAAGCAGACAATATACAAAGTTATAAGTTAGTAAAAGTGAAAAACTACTATTCAAAATGCTTAAAACTAAGTTTACCTGAACAAAAACATCTCACTCCTCACTACCAAGCTTAAGGCCATATGAACACATCAATTAAAGCTGTATACAGCTCTCACAGATAAGCGTCAGTGTATACTAAGTAACAATTATACAATTAGAGAAGACTGAATTACCAATTCATATTATTAATAAGCCTAGTAAACTGCACTAAAGAATTATCAAAGATACCTATACCTGCCGAAAGACAATTAAGATTGAGTTCCACAAAAAAAAATATTTTTATTAACGACTTAAAAACGATTTAAAAACTAAACTACTGAATCTACTCTTGATAATTTTTGTATAAAATAAAATAAAAAAAAAATACTACTAACTTTTATAGGACCAATCTGAAAGTATATCCATTCATATAAAAAATGATATTCCAAATCGGTTTATAACCGAGGGAGTTATGGTTTAACAAACATAAAAAAAAATACAGCCAAATTGTTCTCCTTCTATTTTAAATAAGGCCTCGTCTTCTATCTTAAATAATATTTTAAATTGAAGCCGAGGATATATTATCTGTGTGCGAAGTTTACGAATTTTACAGGACCCGCCATGCTAAAGATGGCTGCTTTGCAGTCTCCTGTCAAATATTTGTAGTACCTATAATTATGACAATTTAACTTCAAAGGATTGTTTGTAAATTGTCATTTTAAGGGCACTACAAACATAATGATTGTTGTTTAAGCTCCACTTTGAACACGATTCTATCGTAATTTATTGTCAACGTTTTGAAATAATAGGGTCGTTTTTTATTATAGCTGTAGACATCATAGTGCTATTTAGGATAGAACAATTATGGAAATAAATATAGTTACGGCATAACATCATGTCAGCCGTTATCTGTTCACAGCTGAACATAGGCCTCTCCCTATTGGGTTTTGTCAGTAGCTTTCTTTTTTAATGATTAATGATGGGGGGGAAGGGATTGTTAGTAATGGGGTCTAATGAACCCATTGCTAGCAATACACTATCAGGTCGACCTCCACGTGGTTCCCCCTGGAAACTATCGTGAACAATTCTTGTGGAATTCGTCACAATGGGCTAACTGACCTGCTTCATCCTCATCTATCATCCTTCACTGGTGCCCCGCCAGTGTATACCGATAGCGCGGGCGAGGTTACCATTCCATTATCACCCATTAAAAAAAAAAGATTAATGATGAAATAGTAACCCCGCCTGCACTATCGGTATATACTGGCGGGGCACCAGTGAGTGACGATAGGTGAGGATGTAAAGACAGGTCAGTTAACCGATCGTGATAAATACACTTGGAACGTAACACGATGGTTTCCAGGCAGGACCAAGTGGAGGTCGACCTGGTTGGGTATATTATTAGCAATGGGGCTCTTAGTCTCCATTATTAACAATCCCTCCCCCCCTTTTGTCAGTAGTTGTCGTGCTTTGTAGGGGAATTGGCAATCGCAATTAGGCTATGGTGATATTTAGAGTGTGCCTTGCCGTGGGTGTCACAAGAGACGACTAAGGGCCTTTAATAGTTAAGGGATTGGCAGCAACGAACCTCTTAAACATCACCAAAGGCTAACTGCGGTTGCCAATCCGCGGGCCAAGCGTGGCTACTACTGGAAAACCCCCCAAAAAGAGGGGGGAAAGGGATTGTTAGTTATGGAGACTGAGAATCCCATTGCTAGCAATATACCAGGTCGACCTCCTCGCCGTTCTCGGTATGGATACGTTAAGTGGTTAGGGAGTGTGTCTGATGGCGGTCTATGTAGGAAGGCTATATTTAACAGTGAACTCTGAATAACTGAAATTGTAATAATGATTATTTGTAATAAATATTCATAAGCCTGAAGAAAAATGTTAACGGTTATAATATAGCTTAATCGCAACATAAGGCGACATCTATCGTACATTCACAGTAATAAATAGGCTTTCAATTAAAAAGTAGATGGCGTTAATTTGCAACATCATTTTATCTTCATAATTCATAGTGGTAATTATTATAGTAGTAATTTAGGTATACAATAAAAATAAAACATATTATTAAATTTTTTATTATATTATTTTTATAATGACAGTACAATAATTAAATTATGATCCACAAAAAACCGACTTAAATTGCGGCAAATTCAATTATGTTGTTTTTAAAACTATTAAACAGAATTTGGTAAAAATTTTATAAGACCAATCTGTAAGTATATTCGTTTACAAAAAAAAAAAGTAATTTTCCAAATCGGTTTACAACTGACGAAGTTATGAAGTAACAAACATAAAAAAATACAACCAAAATAAGTAAATCTTTTTGAAGTCGGTTGATAAAGAAAACCTAAATTATTAAAATGTTAAGAATGTTCATGATTGCATACATCAATATAAAACTAGGTCAAGTAAACAATATCATGACAAATATTTAAACTTTATGAGATAATTAGTCAATCATAATATTATTATTTTTAAAACTTATGTTCATTTTTAATTAATACATAAGTAATAGAAAATTAATGAACCCACCGTGTTTTTGTCGTTTTCCATAAATGTTTCAACTTTATCCGGAAGTCTTCTTCAAGGGGCGTTTGACGCTTTGCGTCACAGTGTTGAAGATGAGTAGCTGTATCTCGTGTAGTTGTCATAGTTATTCAAGAAGTTGTCAGAGAAACGACAAAAACACTGAGTTCATTAATTACTGTTACTTATATACATAGACACATAATATTATTTTCTTGAAGTATTGGTTCTACAATTGTATCAATGTATGAGATTCTAAAAAATAATAAAATAGCAAAAAATCTTTAAAATAACTAGTAGTAATTTCCTTCTATTGACAATAAATAATTATATAGATAATATATAACCAGACAACTATATATTCATTATAGTAGGTGTTATAATTATTTTTACAACTACAAATATGGAACAGACAGACTAAATTGTATTACTGTACTCTGTCCATTAAGTTCACATAACTGGAAATAATAAAATTTGTATCCAAGTGTAATATTATTCCTAAATTCTTGACATTACAATGAACCTTATAACACAGACTATTATCACCCATTTCAACTAAAGCTCAAAGATTAAACAAATTAAACAAACTCATTGCATAATTTATTTAAATTAAAAAATGAAATTAACAAGTATCTTATTAATTATAATCCCTCAACTTTTAAATTATATATCTAAATAGAAAATCATCAATCAAAAATAATATAACTAAAAATTTTATACATTTATTCTTGAAATAAATTTACTGCCTGATAAATATATAAATACCAAAACCCATAAATCTACTTCTACTATGAGCATACTTTGTCAGTTACTTTATATATCAAAAACAAAAACACAAAACAATTAAATAGTTATAACAACTTCATTAGGTGTTTAATATTTTTATCAAAAAGGTGATAAATTTTTTCTTAAGCAATCACTAAAAAACTATAAATCAATATTCAAGTACCACTTAATTTGTTTTTATGGTCCATTTCTTTTCATTAGAATATTAATTGAGATAATCATAAGAAACAACTAGCTTCATCACCTATGGTGTAGGCCACCATACTTTGACTCCTATAACTGTGGTTTGAGATCCTTATTTAAAATCAAAGCTGGATTCTGCATGTCAAGCTGACACTGTGCAATATCACTTAAGGCGGCTTGAATTTTTTCAAGTAAAATTTCACCTTGTCGAACAACCTGAAAAAAAACATTCAATATTTTGTTTTATAATAATATTTACAGGTGACTTTGTCCATGTAACCAGCATAACTTCCCAGATTGGAATAAAAAATATCTTTCTCCATTCCATATAGTATGTGTATACTGTATTTCATAGCGGTTGATTAGGTAAACTATTAAGGCAACAAGAGATAACACACTTTCACATTTATAATATTAGTAAAGATTACAAAAAATGAGGCATGTGTAAGGACAATAAAGTGAAAACTCATTTTTTAAAGAATAATAAATCAAGTTTTCCATATAAATAAAAAATCAATAACTTTACTTTATTCCCTCTCATAAATTAAAAAACATCATGTAAGCAAAATTGTTAGCAAAAATAGGTAAGATAGACATGATATGTGCAGGACTTAGAAATCAACTATTTATTTTGTGGTATAAAAAAATCTTGTGCAATATTATGGGGTCAATTCTCTAAATCTAATTTTGCAAAATTATCAAATAAAAATAATATGTTAAGAGTTAGTGTAGATCATTGTTTATACATATCTTAGGCGTGACAGATATGTATGTATGTATGTATTCTACATTAAGAAACTCCTTTACTGTTTTTTCTCTACATGATATCTAAAAAAAATGTATAATACTAGAATTGGTTGCTTTAAGAAAATACCTCTTCAAGTTGTTCTGCTGCTTCTTTGTTTTCTGCTTCTAATCTCCTCAAACTTTGCACCTGCAACTCTGCTGAACTTTCCTCGCTTGGTAACGACTCGATCAAAGTATCAATATCCTTCGCACACCGTGAAATCAGAGTGGCAAACAGCATAGCATAGTCCTCTTGATTCTGTTGCTGCTGTGGAGTCTGCGAGCCACTCCGGTCGAAACCAGGAAATTTACTGGGCGTGGAAAACTGTTGTAGTATCCCAATACTGTTACAGAAATGTTCAGCTTGCTAGAAAACAAAAAAACAACACATTTATGATTAAAGTCACTAAAATAAACATTGGTGAAAAATCTGTGAATATTATCGTTACCTGATTTATTGTATCTTGCAATTGAGTTAGACGATCAGCCATTTTTTAAGATGTAGATTATGAAGTTATAATAAATTCTAAAATATAGTTGGTTATAGCAAGAAAGTAATAGAATATAGTAAAAAAAAGTTAAAAGTAAATATTAAGTTTAGTATCAAAAAGACAAGAAAAATCAATTAATCTTATGGATGATTGATTGACAATGAAGTGGACTGACAGATAACAATGACACAACTGTGCCACAGAGTACAGTTAAGTTTATCTATAAAGTAAAAGATTAGAAAAGACTGAAATCATAGAATAAGTACTTTTTGTACCTAAAAATTATAAACATATTTTTCTACAGAATTTTATTTGCTCTTACAATTTTGATTTTATATATTTATTTTTAATGCTTAATATTAATCTCAGAAAAATATATATTAAAATTTCTTGGAATATTTGCATCTATTTTTCGTTTCAATTTTGAATCAATTTAATTAACGAATTGTTATCATCACATGCACAGTTATTATAATCATAAACCTATTAAAAAAGCTGGGCATGTCCCATACGGCGTCTAATATATCTGATGTCCACACTAGGATACAAGTAGAGCTTTACCTGTGTACAAAGACATGTCTGAGAGTGAATAACGTGCCTTTTTAAAGGGGCCAGGCCCTTAGGAATGCCAAACACAAAAACACACCAATGGTCATAACGATACCGAAACTATAAACTATATTACAGAATTATAAGTCAACCGAGCAGTTAAGATACCACCATAACTAAATTACATTTTTTAATTATACGATACATGTTTGCATACCTAGTAATTCGTAGAGTTAATCATGTATCTAAAAAGGTTTTTAGCAAATAAGCATTCATTCCATATCATTTTATAATGATCTAACCATACAAGAACAGAAATATAAATTAAAAATCTGAAAACTCTAAGATAAGTTGCAGGTAGATATATAATTCTGTACCTTATTGGCCACGTAGTGTAACCAGATTACCAAAGGATTAGAAATTTAAATTATTACATAATGTTTGTGACATCACTCGGATTCGAACCGATGATTCGAGATCAATAAGATAATGACCCTGACACGAGACCACGACGCTCTAACGTGTTTTAATATGTAAATATTCATTAAATTAATTATAAAAAAAAAACAATGAGTTTTACCATTTCAATTTTCTTTATTATAAGCATTATATATACCTACATAAATATAACTATGAAGTAAAAATATCACAATTCATGATTCCAATTTCATGTTGTTAAATCAACTTGTAACCTAGGTACTACAGCTAGATATTTTATTAGAATTTTTGTTCTCATAATAATAATAATTAATCAAACCTTAAAAAAGATAACTGGCATGACTAGATAATATTACATTTATTGACTAAGTATATATAATATAATAATAAATACTGAAAGTATTTACTTATTGAAATAATAAGTCCCAGAGTTATAGTATGAGAATGAGTGAACCAATTTCCATAAAACAAAGCTAGAATTGATGCCTAAAACAGTTAAGAATAAAAACCGTATTGAAATAGATTCATTTATGCTGCAGATAAACAAAATCAATTTTCAGTGTAAATATATTTTCTTTTTGTCTGGGATTAAATTTGAATGACATGATATGTATCTGAAACAGGTACATATTGATTGCCTTCAATATAAACAATAAATAAAATTATTAGAGAAAATATGCAATAAGCAGTGCAAACTTAACAATAGGTAATATAATTTTTATATTAGAAACAGGTCAATAAAATGTGCCTCTCTAAAATCAAAATCAAAACAAGTAAAATTTAGCTTCTTAGTCTCATATGTGAATAACTGTTTAAATAAGTAACATATTCAATTAATAAGTTTTCTTCCTAATATTCAAATTAGAAAACAGAAGGGATTTAAAAAAAAAGTTGTAACAAGTACATTACTTATCTATGTTGGTTTAGATTATTTGACTGTATTATATCTATGTACTACATAAGCATTTACTAACATGACTCATTCTAATTAAAAAGTTGCCATTTTCTATTATAAATTAGACATAGAGCTCTTAAAAACTGACCTGTAATAATTTAAAAAATAGTGACTGAAATATATGTTAATAGATTTTTAAAATGTAATTTAAATAAATTGTAATTTTAATAATATAAAATGGACATTGCGGACTAGAATAGAAATTAAAGCCAAATAGGAACACAATGTGAGTGGCATGAGGCAAAGGACACAACACAAGTTTGAGGTGGACTTACTTAACAGTCTTATAGTGTGAAAGGTTTACTTAAATATATTAGAGTAATTATTGTGTCATTCCTATAAATATATGAAGCGATACGACTAATGTTTTTATGAGTAAATAAGTTACACTTACAGGTTACAATTTCATTTAAAACACTTGAATTTAGATGTTTCTCACTTGTGGTTATTAATAATCTAAATTTAAGTGTTTAAATTAAAAGAAAAATAAAATATTGCACTATGAAATTAGGTACAATGTGATAAGTATGTGAGATTCAATGTTACATTATTATTATACCTTAATTATTGTGCTAACACTCCTAACTTACTTCTCAACTGAGAATCTGCTGGCAAAGCTAGGGCCCATTTTCGTAAGCCAACAAGCATCACTGAACTCAATACTAAAATAGCTCCACACACAGAGAATTTACTAGGTATCTCATTAAAGAACATAACTTGCCAAAGAAATGCAAATACTATGTCAGCGGACCGAGCAATCGCTACAGGGCCAGCCTGCTCCATTTGCAGAGACATTGTCAACAGTATTTGTCCTAAGTAACTAAAGAGAGCCAGGCATACAACAAGAAACCTTTCTGTACCACAATTTGGCATACATAATACACCAAAAATAAAAGAGTAAAACAATGTCTGTAATATTGCTATAGCACCAAAATTTGTCATGATTACAGAAAAATGCAAACCTTTGAGGACTCTTAACAGTACATAAGCATTAGCTCCAAATATTGTAGATATAAAAGCGGCAACTGCACCTCTTAAGCTATTATAGTTTTGATTCTGGTCAGATACAGGCTCACTTCCAAAGAGAAAAGGTGGATGAGTTATCAGAATTACACCTATTAGAGTCAATATAATAGATATTGTATTCCAAATGCCACAAGGTTCTTTTAAAAACACCCGTGCAAATAAGGCTACAAATACTGGTACAGAGAACACTATTACAGATGCATCAGCCAATGGCATGTTCCGAAATGCATAGAAACTTAACATTAAACCAACTGTGCCCACAATCGACCGTAAGGCGAGTAACAATCGTTTGCCCGGAGGAAATACTGGCTGTTCTGTGTATATGACTATAGGTATTGTCGGCAATAGCACTCCTATGAACCTAAACATGGCGAGCTGCATAGGATCAATATTCACGAGACTCTTAACGATTACTGAGCATAACGAGAAGAATAAAGACGAAAGCGTTGCTAATATAAGGCCTAGATATGGGCATCTCTTTAACAGCGGCCTCTTGTTTTCAAGCAGATTCGGCAGGGTTTCATCCCCGCTCCCAGCAGAAAGGTCAACTAGATGTTGCAATTCTAGATGTTCCGGCATTGCTTCTCGATATCGCCTGTAATAAACAAATAAATGCGGAGTAAAATAGGAGTAAAAACGAAGTACCTATGTAAATTATACAAATAACCTTACTACACACCGTGTCAGTAACTGAATCTGTTAATCTTTTGTTTATTACAGTCTTCTCATATTTAACAAGTAGATAATACAAATCACGAATTGCAAGAACTATTGTGTAAAATAAAATTGTATCATATCATTATTTTTGATCATGATAAAACAAGTGACATAAAATAGTAACATTTGTCATTTTGACTTTGACTTTTGATATAAAAGAATTAGTAAATAAAAGTATAGGTACCAACCTAAAAAAAAAATTTGCATAATTTTTTTGGAATTGTCTATGCTGTTGGTCGCAGATAGTCTTTACAGCATCATCGAACGCGTGTGTAGGGGTGAGTGCAGACGGCATTTCTAACCCGCAAAAGGGGAGCGACGATAGGCGTCAGCTGTTTCTGATGAACTGCGGCGTGCACCCAATGGCGCCAGTGGCTCGGTCCTCGACTTAGGTCACACTTCACACACCCGTCAAGGGACGACGAAGGACTGGTATATCGTGATGGTTGGAGACTCGGGGTCGTAGGGATGCGCTCGGGAGCAAACCTGATGGCACTCGAACCATGTGACGTGGTGGCTCTTCGTCCCCGTCGGCGGGACGGTGTGTATGGTATGTGGGTGTGTCTGCGGGGGCGCGTAGCGAAAATTCCGCAGAAAAAGGGAGAGACGTCGCATTAGCAATTGTGATTGGATCGTCAGGGTGCAAGAGTGCGTGCCTCGGGTAAGGACGTCAAAGAATATTTTGCGTAGTTTTGTATTTTGGTTATATGATACTTTCTTCATCTGTGGGTCTCTTTGTGTCTCTGTAATCTGTGGTTTAGTTTATCTATATTTTAATTTTAAAGTTTTATGACTATTTTTGAATTATATTTTAGTAAAATTCCAGACAAATTATCTTTTTGAAGACTAGGCAGCATGGTCTCCGACCTTAGCCTGTTCCAAACGGAACAAACGTACTAAAAAAAAAAAAAAATTATATTTTAGTTTAATCTTTGTTTTAAACAAATTTTTAAATAAACATTATGTTTATTTAAAAATAAATGTTCGTTATAGTTTTTAATGTATAATGAACAAAAATAAATGTATAGTGCCCAATATTGTAGAAAGCATATTGGATAAAGTCGAGAATCGCATAAATGCAGCAGAAATTAAACAATGTAAACATTTTAATTTATATTGACATGAAAACAATTAGTTGTATTGTGACAAAATTTCTATAGGAAAAGTCCTATTGATTACAAAATAATTATCAAAAACGGTTGGGAATTAATAAAGATCCCACGTACTTATATTAAATTTATATATTAAGTTTCAGACGAGGAATTACTATCTCTCTATTCAGTATTTGGCGTAGTCCTTCAAAGAGCATTCGATATCTTGGAAAAATATCCCAACATTGTGGCATACAAAACATCAAAGACGTCCCGTGTTTTGATAGAAATAAAGGGAGAGAAAGACCGTTGCTATAGAGTTTTTCCCAAGATAAATTTCTGTCCTTGTCCAGCATTTAAACACCAAGTTTTAGAGAGAAAGTCTCAAGTATACTGTAAACATGTTTTGGCTGGTCGCATAGCACAAATCTTGGGTAAACTTGTGTATCAAGAAGTATCACAAGATCAATATTTGATGCTATTAAATTCTATGTTTGACTTGGAGGAGAATAATGGATGAAGAGACATCTCAGTATTATTTTACGGCTTCAATGGACTCTGGCAAAACTTTGTGCAGCTTGCTAAAAGCCATTCAGTTTCAAGAGGTAATCATAGTGTTTTATATCATGAGGGATATTTATGTAGTGAATTTTATCTAATAACATTTATAGTAAGATTGTTTTGTAGCTAATATTCTTTTTTTAATTAATTTGGCTGTGTTGAATCACACAAGGATTACTCAGAGCTAGAATTAGCCTATTTGGTACCTCTTTAAAACTTCATTCTCCCTCATCTTGATAATGAAAAAAATATTCATTCTATGATCTTCAATATTCCTATAACCTGTCTTATACCATAGTGCCAATTGGTATATTTGAAGTTGACCAATACATTTTTACCATTATTGGATATAGGTATCAATTATAAAGCACATTATAATGTATAAATTTGTTATTAGAAAACACAATAATATTTAATTCTTCCTATATTTATGTCTATATTTTATTTCAGTCTGCTGTGTTCTGTGCTCTGCCGGAAGGTCTGAAGTTCACTGTTGAGGAAGGCAAGTGTGTCCAAGCCTCAGCATATGTTCCTGCTGATAACTTCACTGAGTACCATGTTAGAGATGATGTGGATGTTATGTTCAAAGTAATTGTCTATGAATATTTTATAATAATAATAAAGCCATTTACTTACTGTGATAAGGATTTACATGTAAACGTACAAAAAAATATCTACAAAATGATCACCAACATATTAAGGACTGGTGTGATTGTGATCATCATATTTGGATCATCATTTTCTGTTTATCACCATATGGGTTTAGTCATTTCAACTGAAAAGTACAAAAATAATACTATTAGGTGGCAAAATTTTTAAATATATCTATTGAGACTTATGTAGGTGCCATCATATTAACCAGGAAAGATGTCAAGTATATTTAAGATTTTTATATGCAGTTTTTAAAGTTTATCAAAATTGTATGTCCAGAGAATCTTTAGGTGTTAGCAACACATAATTCTATCTTATTTTCTTGATTGCTTTGTAGCATGATTTTATTTAATTATAAAATGTAAAATTTGAAATAAGAGGATGTCTATATGTTAGTGAGTTGAGTTCAACATGTATTTTTGTATATATCATAGTTATATATTTCAGATAAGTGTTGCTGTTTTAGCTGAATGCCTCAATATATTTGGTTCAGGAGAAGAATCAAGTCTGAAAATGTATTATAGATGTGAAGGGTCACCTTTGCTATTAGTGTAAGTGATAGCCTATTTCATAAAAATTAACTCTAATATTGTCCATTTATGGGTTTCCTAGATCTTGAATGTATTTAATTTTTTGCTTATTGGGTTCCTGATAATTTTTTTTAATGAAATAATATTGTACCTAGATGATGTTCATACATAGATGTTTAAAAATAAATATGAGAAGTCTTAAAAAGAGTAATAGAAGCTAAAGCAATAATTTTTACAAATTTTGTCTCTCTGTGTTTGTTTCGGAATCATACAAAAACTACTGCTAAAAATTATATGCAATTTTGTTGACACAGTTATATTCCTGAAGATCAAAGAAAAGTCATCTAGATTAGTTTTAAATAATGTAGTTGATTGATAAATATTATGTATATTGTATACAGCATATATAATGTAGTAAGACATGAAGATACTGTTTAACTGATGTAATTAATACCTTAACTTGATCTATGACGTACAATAAAGACATTTGTATTTAGAAGAGATCTATTTCATAGCTGAAAAGCTATGAAATTTAAGGGGTAAGTAGAGATACTTACCTTATTTACTTTTATTTTATATTAGATTACTTAAATTCACGAATCTGAAGTAGCACACAAAATGATAATTTTTATTATTTTCTATTTACAGTCTTCAACCGCAATCGGTCTACAATGTGATGACAGACTGCGAAATATTTACACAAACGGCCGATTCGGTTTTGGAACTTCGAGATGAAGACTGCCCTGAAGTGGCAAAGTTGGTACTGAAAGCGCCAGCATTCTTGGGTCTGCTGTCAGACCTTGAGCGGTCCTGTGACATAATAGAAATTAATCTGTCGCCTGAACATCCTCATGTTAGCATTGTTACATATGGAATGCAGGTTAGTAGTGTTTATTTCTTACACTTAAAAATGGATAAGACAAACACTGATTTTTAGATAGTTTAGGATATATCATTCAGCGACACCTAGTCTGAATTTTTTTTTAAATAATTTTGGCAAAGGTCTGATGTTGCCCATTATGCCACTTACAGACACGAAACTAGTATTTACAAATATAAATAACAATGGGGTCGATGGGGTGTTATTTCTCAAAACCTATTTCTAAAATTAAATTTCAAAATATCTTTATACTACAAAGGTGTAATTTAGAAATATATTTTTGTCTTACAGGATAGATCTTGTATTGAAGTACCCAAATCGTCAGACATGGTGCAGAGTTTCAGTTGCGAGGAACCTGTAACCCTGAAATACCAGTTACACCATGTACGGCTTATTATGAAAGCACTCGCTATCTCAACCAAGGTTTGGATTTATTTTATACTAGCAATTTAGTCCGGTTTTACATGGGTATATAGAATTTTCGAGAATAATATATAGCCTACTCGTTTTTACCGGGATAAAAAGTAGCTTTACCCTCCATCCCATAAAGTGCGTATATATACCAAATTTCATAAAGTTATAAGGTAACATTCACATTTATAATATTAGTAAGGATGTCACTCGCTGATAATAGAGCTTTCTATAGGTGAAAGAATTTTTAAAATCTGTTTAGTAGTTTTCGAGTTTATCAATTACAAACAAACAACTTTATGATCTTTATAATATTAACTAGTATAGATATTCATATCTATCCAGCTGACTCGGTAAACGACGTTTTGTCCTCTGTCACTTACCAGATACATTTTTTCATATTAGGATAAAAAATCATTCCCTCAATATTGGAGTAAATGATACACATTAACAAAATTTCATTGATCGAGCAGTTTCACAGATTAGCGGAACAAACATCGTAACACGGTATTTTTATGCATAAGATGTTAGGGACTAAGTTTCAAAATAATCTTTAGGTTCTAAAATGAGTATTACTTACTATTATTATACTATATACTGAAATTCTAAACTAAAAGCGTTAGAGTACACTTGACAATTCTAAGATCGAATATCAGTCCAATTGAATAAAGCCAATTAAGCAAAATCCATTTAGAATTCGAGAAGATATTGTACAATAAATACAAAGAAAAATGCAGTTAAGTCATTTTGAAGTTGATCAAAAGTTATTTGTTTAGAAACCCAGTGGAAGATATATGAAGTGACTGCAACCGATTTATTTTATTAATTTGTTCTAATTATATCTTAAATTTTATGAACTTTTTGAAAAAAAAACAATCAGTCATATTTCTTGCCCCTTCTTCTTGACTGAAGTTGCATTCCGAATAGGCGGTATAATCATGAAAAAATACTATTGGAAAATTTTAAATTTAATAATATTTTTTCTTTCTTAGGAGGCTTTAGATAATTTGACACCAGATGGCGCACGACTCGTAGTAGGAAATAACTGTATTATCCTTTTGTCCGCCAGGTGGTGTTAAGGTGCAGTTCAAATGGATTATTACTACTACAGTTGAAATTAGAAAAAGAAGATCAAAGGCAAATGTTTTCCGAATTTTATATAGTACCGTTATTGGATGATTGATTTTTAACGGGATTAATAAAAACGCTAAGGGTACTACAGGGCTGTGAAATAAATAGTACAGTGTTGATACAAAATAGATGTTTTATTTCATTTTCAAAAATTACATTCAACTTATTTAAGGAATGTTTTAATACGCGATGCTCATTTAATTTTGTAATTACAAAAAAAGCTCAAGTCAATTAAATAAAAAAATATTACAACAGCTTTTGCCTCCTGACTTTGTCCATGTGAGTTTTTTTTTTTTGGTTTCTCGTCTCAAAAGGAAAACCCTAGGATCTTAGGATCACTCGCGTGTCTATCTGTCCGTTCGTATGTTACAACCGATTTGTTTTGAAACTACTGGTCCATTCGAGTTGAGACTTGGTACATATATATCGGTGACCCGAAGACGGACATTGTCGCCAATCATGGCGGAAATTATAAAATAAAAAAATTTCAACATTATATGAATGAGATTATTGTGAGAATCTCATACATTTAAAAAAATTTAGATAGTTTTTATTTAAGAAAATAGGCGAAAATTTACCATCGTCCTTTCTTTCTGGAACTACTGGGTATAATTAAAAAAAAAAAATCATCAAATTGACCTTTAGATTACAGTCTATGGTATATAAAGTAGGTAACATAGGAAATCTTAATATTTGTGTGTATGAATTTCATTTGCAAATATAATATTACAATTGCGTACATACTTTTTTTTTAAGTTGCTATCAACAAAATTAGGTTAGATTTAAAACAACTTAATGGGGCATAGATAATCAACGTACGGAACCCTTTCTACGCGAGTTTAACTCTCACTTGTCCGATTTTTTTATTTCTTAGCCCCTATTAGTTGTAACGTGATATGTATTTAGTTTTTTAGGTGAATAGAACTTGCATAATCATTAAGATCGGAATAAATTGACTGCGATTTGATAACAGAAAGAAACATTATGATAATTAGCTGTCTAAACAAATATATTTATCGACATATACGTTTTCGCTGTCGCATGCACAAGATAGAATGAGACAGCGACATTGAGCTTCTTAATGAGCGTAATATGAATGTATTGATAGTTTCTTCGTTTAGAGCTAAATAAAACTATAACCAGGCAAATATAAAGTAATTCTAATGTACAGACAAACTTTGGTCATTTATTTTACAATGCCGATAATTCCAATTGTATATATTGATGACGTCACTTATTTTATAGCTTCAAGTTATCTCCGCAAACTCATTAAAATTAATACAGCGATTTCTCTTTAAAAAGATACAGATATTTTCTGTTAGTATACGAATACGTACCCCAAGTTATTTTAGCTCGTTTAAATATATTATTGTAAAAAAAAAAATGTCACACCTATAGGTATAGTACGATGTTGAGCAATCGCCACTCATGTATACAGCCCTCTTTAGACAAGGTATAAACGACTGTATCGATAAAATCGCTTCGGTCACCGCTCACAGAAAGAACAAGACAGCGCACATTGCCGTCTCATCCTATCTTATGGACTCGCTAGCGATAACAATTCTATCAATGGATTAGTTTGTATTTGTCTAGGGGGCAAGCCCTCTAGACAAGTAACAGACGAATCTATCAATGGAAACGTTGCTAAGTAGAAAAGTCGCTAACGGTTCCTTGAGATGGAATAAGATAGCGACGTGCACTATCTTGTTCTTTCCATTTCCCATGTGACCGAAGCGATTCTATCAATAGATGCGTTTGTACCTTGTCTAAGGGGGCAGATTTTACGGTTATTTTATAGATTCGTACACTGTGCTTAAAAACGTGTCCGCAGAAGGTACATAACCTTCAGATAATTATTCTCTGCAACTATTGTTTGTCTATGCCCAATCGTACGGATTGTAAAGCCATGGATTTACAATCCGGAATGCAATGGTTGTATCCACAATGATATTGTACATTCATCAAGGAAGTTATTATCGGAGTACAAAAATAAATTGAAATGAAATAGAGGTATTGATTCATAATAATTTCCGTACAAAATGCCTATTACAGTAAAAGTTGTACAAATATTTGGCGTGTATAATTCCAATGAAAATTTCCTATTTAATTAACAAACCTTATTGTATTATTTATGTTTTATCAATTCCAACAACATTAATTACATTTATTCTTAAAGGTATATTACAATTACAGGGTTAGTCGGCCAACCTGTAATCCAGTCGTAAATAGTTATAAAACTAAACAACTTCTGCCCTCAAGAAAGAATATTTACACCAAAATATTTTCATATTAAATCAACAAGGCGACCTTAGTTGTATGGAAAGTTAAAAATTATTTCATAATTATTATATATTCGACTATATTCCTTGAGGAAAATTGTTCAGTTTCAGAACATTCACTGAATTATGTATTGATATACATTTTACGACTGTCTCTGTATAATATTGACAGTATTTACTGTTTTTTGAATTTGCTAAATTCGTCTTAAATTTTAAATTGCATTGCAATATAATGTTATTTTCCACTTTTAAACTGAGGTTATTTATATTACACATAAATCATACTGAGTCCTAAGCAGTCGTGTCCAAGGACTATTTTCATTTAACATTTTATTGATAAGTCGATTTCTTTTGCTAACTTTACTAACCCCTGTATCCTAAATACCTACGTATGTTACAATAATGACTAGACATATGACATATACAGGCAATGTTTGGTGGCATATTAAATACAAGATTATCATAACGTGAAACTATGTTTCAGTACACACACACACACACACACGCATATATATATATTTACTCATATGTATATATTATTATAGGCAATAAAGTTATATTTGCGATGGCAGTTTGTATTAATTAAATTGATTTACTTATGGAATGACCTATGGGTAGATTACCAACCAAAAACCCAGTAATTATATTCATAAAACTTCTCTTAAGATTTAAAAACTATGAAAATGATTCTGAGTTTTTATATCTACTTATAATTCATGTAGTTTCAGAATCGATTTGATATGAAAGGTTCAAAAAATATTTCCATATTTCAAACCCTTGTTTACTAACTTGTTCAGTTTCATAAAATCACTAGGTTTTAATTTGGCGTATCTACCCTTTCAACATAGCCAAAATAAGCCAAAGATTTTAAAGTAATATTTAAGTCAGAATAAATATACAGCCTGTCAGAGTTGAAATTTTAAGCAGTGTTACATTTAAATTTACGCATTTTCCTAAATTAATGTCAGTTTCTGCCTTTTCTACCTCCTTCTTTTATTGAAGTTGTAACTACCCCCTTTGATACCGTATATAACTAAATTTTGCTATGTAAAAACTACCGCAATAATCTCGAATACTGAAGTCAATTCTGAGATGCCAATTCTCTAAATCTGTCTCTAAAATTAACATTTTAATTTAATATTACAGCGAAATCTTTAAGAACCAATGTGAACTAAATTTACGCCATGCGTGTCCCGGCATAAGTTAGCCCACCCCTTCCTTTCCCGTGGGTGTCGTAAGAGATGACTAAGGGAGCTTATGGTGGAGGGATGGGCAGCAACGTCTCTCTTAAAACATCTCTAAAAGCCTAACTGCAGTAATCAACCCGCCTGCCAAGCGTGGTCACTACTGGCAAAACTCCCTATGGGAAAGGTTTATGTCCAGCAGTGAACAGTCAATGACTGAAATAATAAAAAAAATGAACAAAATTTATAATTGATTTAAGACAAAATTATTATAAATTTAGTTTATGAAGGTCTACAAAACAGCAATTTCGCGAAATTTTAAAATTAAATTATTAGGTTAAGTGTGATAGGTTTAGAGAATGTCGCATCCGAATCGGTCCCTTTATGACTGGTATTGAGAAACGTCGACAATGATCATTTTGAACGAATTAATTTACAACACATAAATTTATATTACTTAATATAAATATAATAAATAATATTAATTATTTAATAATAAGTACATACATTAATTTGGGCTATGCCTCTAAAACGAACAATAATACCTACACATTTTTTATTGCACTACTTAATTTCTCTAATCAAACATACTAACTAGTTACGCATCTTTTAAAGGTAACGCTGACATTGCTAAGAGAAATCTCAACATTGCGATATCCATATTGAAAACTTGATCGCGGGTTCGATTCCAATCAATACAAACATTTCTATTTATGAGTATGTATATTTGTATTGGCCTGTATTCTATATACGAATTTTAAAAAAGAATTTAAATATGTCTGCCAGTTGCCTAGTATAGTTGCTTTATTTGATACTAGATGGAGTTGTGTGCATTATACTTGCAATGTTGTGAACCCCCTCAACTATTACAGACTTATATTCCTCCTTAGAGGAAGGTACTGAAACATTATTTTTTTTATTTTAAACCAGGAATGCCTAGGTAGATGAGGTGTCATATGCAAAGATTCAATTAAAGTTATATTAAACTAAACTTTAGAACAACGGCATAGGGTTTAATTTGATCGTTTCGATCGCATAAATTATTGAATCTAATGAGAGGACTTAATCTCTAGCTTACAATTACTTAATACCATTAAGTATATAGGGAATATCAAGGATAGTATAAAACATTGAGATTATATACATAGGAAACCATTCCCATACATACAAATTACAATTAACTTCGGAAATGGAATTTGAACACTTTGATGAGCGATGGGTTTTAGTATCTAGTTAAGATGTTCTTTAAGTATAGCTTTATACTTATTAGCTAAAAATAAATATATTAACACAGTGTAAGGAATAACCAGTTGTCCAAGACCTTCGCTATGTACTAAACGATTATATGACAGGTCTGTTGGACGACTGGTAGGAAAGTTCTTTAGACTGTGATTAGACGGTGACACGTAAAATTATTAGCTAAACTTGTGTACAATTTTGTAATAGATTTTTTCACGTTTAAAGAAACGTGGATAATTTTTTTTTCTTTTTCAATACATATATTTTACATTTTTAAACATCAATTATGTTTTATCATTCATATAATATCAATGATTATTATTTTGAGAATTTTCTATTCAATCTGTTAAAGAAACATTCACAGACCAACTCCAATAGAATTCTTAACCCTGTAATAAATTTTTCAGTTTCGTGAACTCTGTACATCCAAAAACAAAGTCAATCGCCTATATTAATATAACGTTGGATCCTCACTGTAACAGCGGTTTACGTATAGTGTAAATCCGGCCCAATCCTGACAAAATTCATGTCATAGATAAACTGTATTCAAGAAGGATAACTCCCCTCTCTAATAGGAAGAGTTACACTCTCCTAATCTTTAACCTCCTTATTCATAAAAACTAAAACCTAATTTAACTATTATTTAAAAATACTTTATCATTTTCAAATAGAAAATTTAAAGCAAAAGACAAATATTTAAATAGTTTAAAATAGGTTTATTAAATATTTACTTTTTTTACGAATAAGGGGTTAGTCTATATAAATTCATTAAAAATGTCTCTTAATCACGATAAACTCTTTTCAAAACGATCCATTATACATTAAAGGCCGTATTAGACGTGCAGCAGAATACGTTTAGCACATTAAAAGTGTCCGATTGCCTACTACTGTACACTGACGTGTGTTACACGAAACTATATTGGTTGTCTACGGCGCGAACGTCATGGTGAGCACCGCTAGCCACAAGAAGCGCTTCTAACTCGGCCCTGCGCATTCTGACGTCACTGCCGTGCGTGACACCCAGCTAAAAAAAAAATAAACGACACCATAAACAAAATATATTTTTTATTTTACACAGTAATAGAGAATTGCTTCGATTTATTTATTATAAATGATACCATAGAGAAAATTTATTTTAAATTTTTATATTACAGAGTTCAGAAATAATTTGATGCATTTAATAGGCATATTGAGAATTTTGTACAAAAAAAAACCATGCCCACAGTACTGATATCAAAGCATGAATTTAACTAATCATTGTGAACTTAACAGAGGTAGACTATAGTTCAATTCACAATAATAAGCTAGAAACATGCTTTATTCCTTTGTTAGATATCACCGCTGCGGACGCGGTTTAAAAAAATAAGCTGGTCGTAGAAAGCAAACAAAAATAGCACGTGACGTGAAAAACTTACCAAAAAATGTGCACATTCAAAACACAAAACACAGGCATAAAACGAAGTTAAACATACAGCAAATAAAAAGAAAAAACAAAAGCCATTCCATAGAATAAGTTTAATGTACCTAATAAAATTTACAACCAAGAAATTACGATTAAAGCTCGGAAGAACAATGATTTCGTATGTACAAAACATAAACAAAATTAGAAAATATTCTAAATACATTTGTTAGTACATTATATTAACAGTCCGCCTCGAAATTATTAAAATTATTGATAAATAATACTACATTAAGATATATAATTAAGACTTCATACAAAAGCCATTCTTAATTCAAATTTCCTTTTTGGATATGAGCCCCTGTTATTTTGGGGTTGCCATTCTATTAACAAAAGAAAACAAAAATAAATTAAGCGGCTATTTTTGAAACGGCAATGACTTTTAATACTCTACAACGAAATCATTATAAAATGCAACTCTCAATGACAAATTATACAATACGAATGAACTAAATCTACATAACATTACAATATTACAATAATAATAATAAATCTAATTGTGATTCAAACCAACCTGAATGTAGGTAAGTATAATTGTGATATTTAAGTAAATTAATATAATAATTATATGTATAATTAAAAAAGTATCACTTAATTAACAAATTTATATATACAAAGAATAAATAATGAACGATATGTAGGTATATGAAAATTATTTTTCAATTATTTGTATGAAGAATTCTAGAAATAATAATATTTATGGATTATAACATAATATTTTTTGATAGCATGGTTTTTTAAAGTGATTAATATATTTTTGGTTAGGTACGTTTTCATTATAAATAAAGTTGAGATATAAGACATAATATTTGAGATATTTTTTTTTTTTATTAAAGTCAATCTTTAAGTCTAAGGTTTATATTCTGAATTTATCTATGGTTTATACTTTTTAATAAAATAGGTCAAACGATTACTTTTAATTTTCATTAGTTATTACAACGACCTTTATGGCAAGTGAAAAAATAATCAACAAAAAATATAAAATCATGACATTTAGTGAATATAAAGCAAAATAAAATAATCAATAATTATTTCTTACATTAATTACATTGTAGAAAGCAATACACAGTAACCCTGTACACGTCAAACCTGTAATAAACCTAATTCAACTATTTCAATATTTTGTCTTTTTCTTTTGGATTATAGGTACTCTCGACTTGAAAGAAAACGTCAAAACACTGTAATAGTTAAAATAAGTTTGTAGAAGTTTACAGTTTTTATTAAAAAAAAAGAAAGTTTATTTATAAAAAAAAAAAAAATACAAATGTTCTCTAAACATTGAAATATTCCGTCTCACTCTCTCTCTCTCTCTTTGAATTAAATTCTTAATTTGAAAGGAGACGAACAAGAAAGTTATGTAGTTTTATGAACACTATCGGGTAATAGGTTTTCGAATAACGCTAATTATCCTTTTTTTTTTTATTTAGTCAAACCAATTTGTGTTCTGATAAAAAATGCTGAATAACTAAAATTATAATATTAACTGTATAATCTGCTGGGATTAGTACATAAAATAATAAAGTAAATTATTTATACCGCTAAAATTACGAATTAATATTATATATTTAATATATTTAGATAAATATGACTGGGGTTTCATAGCATCGTGTGTGACATTCGGTGGGACTACAACTAATGACAATATAAATAGGGAGGGTTACCATGAATTCTGATTCACGTTTAGAATATTATAAAGTGCTCAGGCTTTTTTTTTAAATGTGTAAAAGAGACAAAGCAGTTGAAGGTTTACCTGGTGGAAAGTGCTCTCTGCCACCTATGCGTGAACAATACCATTATAGACGTATTAAGAGAGTGTGTGGTGCATAGTATCTCATACATACATACCTTTTGTTAGAGATTAGAGAACACATAGTGCCAGAAAATAAAAATTGGCTTGTTGTTGTTATTGACATTGTTCAGTTTCCAACAAGAGAACTACTTGCTCGAAAAAGAGTTACTCATGGCATCCCTCATATACGGTGAGGTCATTATAATAATAAATACAAATGTACTAGTTAAAAATTTAAAACGAGAATAAGATATGGTAACCCTTTAGAAGTGACTGAAAAAAATAGACTAGCTATGAGTGGCAAATTTATGGTTGACCACCATATACTAAAACTCTCCAAGACCTTAGAAAAAAATTAAATATAGAGATGTGAAACGTTTGAACTATTGATACAAAAAGGGGGTAATTTGGACGCTTTTGTTTTTGATCCGACATTGGTATCGAAGTTCCCAAATGGATATACCAATAATGTATTTTTTATTTGAATACATGTTTTGGGATGGTTATATTATATATTTATAGTTATATGTGGATACTGTTTGATAAAAATATAATTACTTACCCTAAGTAGTTAGTTATATATTATAGTCAAATAATAGAGTTTGAATTAAGATAGTTTGGATAAACATAAGAGATTCCATATCCGTAACATCCAGGGTCGGACCAATATTATGGATGTATAAAAGTTTTTCAAACTGGCAACATCGTTATTACTTGTCAAAGTTTAAAATAAATTTAGGTATTTTAATTATGCAACATTTTTAGGAAACTGGAAGTTTTTGTAAAATTTAAAAACGATTAAATAAAATAATAAAACAACAAATTTTATCGATAAGTTTACGTGCATTTTTTTTATAATTATTCAGAGAATTTGGGAATCGGTTTTGAAAAATGTCACAATACAGACGTTGCCATATTTTGATCTAAATATTTAGAAGACTTTGTTATGTTCAATGACGTCAATCACTCGACTGAAAATAGCTTCTTGGGTTTTATTTTTAAATTGATTTGATTTTTTTATATTTATTTCACACCTCATTTGTTTTAATTAAATAATTACACTCATGTGATATCTCTATAAATTATGATGTTTAATAAACGATATGAGTATGATATTTGTGGATATTTAAGAAATCATTTTTCATTATAATAAATAAAATATTATTAACTCAGTATACTTAATGTACATATGTTTGAGTTAGGATGATTGATTTTACATATATCAGTCTAAGGTTTAAGAATAGGTATTTTCATAAGTATTATATCAGACTGTAGAGACCCTATTCAAAACAGATAAAAATGCACACTCTCTTTAGATTGTAGGGCGATATTTCTAAACCGTCCAATTATAATTTTCCCTTAAATTGTAATTATTATATATTTACAGGCGTAGTGGAAAATGTTCGCGCTCTTTCAAACCAAATATATAGCGTGATACGGAATACATTTGGTCTAAAATTACGTAACAGCCGATACCGTTGCCGCAATCGTAATGCACATAAACGCATTGCTCTCTATATTTTTATTATAATATTGATATGATTTAAAGATTTGAATTAAGCCTTCATTGATAGTAACCATTTATTTATAATATAAAATAAATTTTATAAAATAAAATTTCCATACTATAAAATGCAGGCATAATTGAAATATAAGTGTATCGACCGCTTAGGTTACAAGACTGAAATAATGTCAGTGAAAATGCTACGACTATAGATATTTGAACGAAAGTAAACAATGTAATACACGTTACTTTATTGTCATAGTATTTGAACATTGTGAAATTATTTGAAACTGTATTATTAAAATTAATTTCACAATATAAAATTTTTTGTAACTTTGATTAAATACAAACGGTCAAAGAGAATAGCACGTAACCTAGTGCAGTCGAAAATAAATTGTTCATATAGTCTATTTTATACATTTTGCCAAAATTACGCGAACGATGCTCGATATATTTAACTTTTCACACGTTTTTTTTTTCGAATAACTAAATATTGTCTAAATTGTGTCGCAGATAAATAAATAAAAAAAAATTGCATTTTGTAGAATCAGACTAAAAATAAGAAGTTATTAAGAATATAATTAATAATAAGTTTATGCAATAAACTTATTAATATAGATTAAAAAATGGCAGTGAAAATAGAATGTCTATACTATTGAGCCTTGCCTTAACGATAACTACTTGTAGACTAGATTTTTTTTTAATTCAATTCAAATTTCAATAGACAAATTTTACTGCTACTGTTAAATTAAAAAAAAAAAAAATATTAGTGGTAAATTAAAGTGTAAACTTCGTAATGATATGTGAATCTTAAGTAACTTTTATATCGTCGAAAGTAAAAACGGTGTGTGCGTAAATCAATCGAATATCGGTTGCGTAATTTCGGTACAGTAGTGAGAGTTTTTACACAGATTTACGTAAGCGTTTACGTTGAACATTTGTATAGAAACAGCCTCTGAAACCGCCTCTAGCGTATAGTTTAAAAAATGTAGCTCTCCATACAAACTTATTAACGTAAACATGAAAACGGCAGTTACGTAAATCTTTGTAAAACTCACATTGGATATTCAGAAGTGTCGCACTACTCAGTAGTGTGGAAAGGACCGTCAATATTAACTCTACTTTGTACCAGTAAAGCTTGAGCGACAGGTATAATAATCTCATGGTTTCTCCAAGCCACACCTCACAGTACTACATAAGCTGTTCTCGATTGTTCTATGTATTTATTTTGTGATACACTAATGCAACAATTCTTTATATACAATCCAATTATAGTTAGTATTCATGAAAATTAACCATTTTTACTTCATTCTTTCTAATTATGTCTGGATATTAAGTATGTCTGTTTATGTATAATATATAAACCTATTTGTGTATTATAATACGCTATCCTTTTATTCTGAACTAGCTTGTTGCCCGCTACTTCGTACGCACGGAGTTTAGAAGTAGGAAAAACCATGAAATATACCACTTTTAGACACAGACATATAAAGACAAATCATAAATCAAATTTTAAGCTAGACATTCAGGACTACAACTATGAAAACCGCATACAATTTAGTGCAGTAATTTTTCTAGAAAGAGATCTGTGTCGAAATTATGCAATCAGAAGTATTACTTAATCAGTTTTCCTACTTCTGAAATTCGTGCCTATGACGTAAATGGGCAAAAAGCTAGTCTATTAATAAAATTATATTTATTATTTACTAGCTGTATACCATAGCTCCGCCCGCGTGAATCAATAGATAAAATATCCTATGTATTAATTTACCATATAATCTCGTATGCCAAATTTTATTAAAATCCATTCAGTAATTTTCAAGTACAAAATTTCGCATTTATAAAAATAATAGGATAACAGGATTTATTTTCTTAAATAGGATGAAAGTAATACAACGGAATTCATGGCGTGCGTGTTCCATTGACAAGCGAGTTATTTATTTGTGGTTAGACGATTATGGCTTGTTCAATGTTGCCGTATCATATTGTGGTTTAAAGTCGATATCGCATCGGCATTATTGTATACATAATGACCGCCGGGTGATTGATAACGTATTCAATTAATACAAACCGGGCCTATAAGATAAACAGCAAACTATTCGCAGGAATACGTAAGAAAGAACGAAACAGGACGTCATCTGTCTCACTCTTACGGTTTGCGGTTGAGTAAATTAATATTAAAATAGGTTTAGACGATAAATGGGAAACAATTGGTAAAAATGGATAAAAAAAAGTTTATGATTGTATCATTATTGTACAAAAATGGATAAACAGTGACTAAAATGTAAAATTTGGTTTAAGCTACATAAAAGACAACTTGGTACTGTCAAGTTAGAATCTCTTTCTATCAGTTTTGTCAATAAAAATGTTTAAGAGATAGAAGGCGTACTTACATATAGACAAATTACACTTTAAAGCTGGACTCAGCTGAAAATCTGCACTGGGACCTCAATATGTTGAGGTGTAGCCAGCATTAACTCTTGTTTAAATTTAAACTTTGTTTTTTGTTTGGTATTTTTAAATCTTTTTACATTTCATAGTTCATTTGACAGTTAGGCTTCAACATTGTGATGTTAATCGTTCATTATATTGCGATGCGACCACGAACGAATCCGGGAGATACAGCTAGTTGTAGTATAGAACAATCGAGAAGTGCATTATACGCTAGGAAACCGTTGCGAGGCTCACTTGTTGTCTATTCCCGTCCTGACAGACCACGTACTCGGTGAGCGTGACGTCGGCCGCGCCTCCCGACTCCAGCGGTATAGGGTTGGCGCGGAAGTGCTCCAGCATGTCGTGGACGTTCGGGAACCACAGGTGCTGCACCCGGCACTGGCCGGTCTCGTTCAACGTCATCCGGAGGTGTTTGGCGCGACCCTGCAATAATCATCGTTAGATGAGAAAAGAATACTTTTATATTTTTTATTATTAGCATAATTTCAGCCGTTAACTCTCTGCTGAACATTTGTCTTTCTATTAAGAGAAGTTTTGCTAGTAGTTACCACGTTTGGCAAGCGAGTTGGCAATCTTGAAAACATGTATCTAATGACAAACATGAATATTGAATATAATTTGTATTAAAAAAAAAAAAAAAAAAAACTTTATAAAAGGATGTCAGCCAGTTAATATTATTTAGTGATAATTCCACTAGAGAATGATAAAGCCTATTACTATCATACTGGCCACGAAGCTTGGCTATGCAATCTCTCAATTCTTTCCCTTATTTGCGACATATTATTCAATAGAGGAATGAATAATCTATATAATAAAAATGATCGCTAAATGTGTTGCCAAGTGCAAAACTCGACATTGGCTGAACAAACTTTTTTTTCAAATATTCTTTAAAGTTTAATAATAAATAAATAAAATCCGAGGAAGATTCTTATAAAGAGAAAAATTGGAAAAACTGCGCGGAAAAAAGTGATATTCCAATTCTTCTTTTTTTTTAAGCAAATGGCTGTTGACAGTCCAGTCTGTTTGGGTCTTGTTGATCTAAATTCGTGTCATAAAAAGGAGAGATTTTTTGTTTGTAAAAAATAAATAAAAAAAATTAAGACAAATTATTGTTCTATTTGTTTACTCATGCGAAGCTGGGGCGAATCACTAGTCAAAACTAATATTATATGTTTGTAATGGTAAACTCAAAAGCTATTGAATTGATTTAAAAATTCTTTCACCTATACGAACTACATCACTATTAGCAAGAACATAAGCTAAAAAAAAATTCTTAAAAAAGTCGCTTGTCGTATTATTAATTGAGATCGTACTGACCTGGAAGTTGAAGGTGAGGACGTACTCGCCGCGGCGCGTCTCGCTCTGCCGCACGAGGTAGCAGCCGTGCGCGGCGGCGCCGCCGGCCAGCACGCTGGCGGCCGCGGACGCCCGCGCCAGCGTGCCGTGGAACCACGGCCACTCCGACAGCGACACGCGCGACGACTCGCACGACTCCTCCGCTATAGAACCTGCGCCGTAAGCAGAAGACGCATTGCTATTAATATAGACTTGTTGGGAAGTATGATGGAATTGTGTATTTATTGTGAATATTAAATAAGTAATTGCCTTTTTTTTCAATTTCCTTATTTGCAAGAAATGTAAGACGTTATGAAGACGCAATACAGAAACATAGAAAGTATACAAGAAAATACATTCATGTCATGGACAGTAGTTCGTGTCTATAGCCACCATTGGCATCACCGAATACTCCTCATGCATTGCCATTTATTCTTTATTGATCATATAAAAAAAAAAACTGTTAGTCATTTCTGAAGAGGATGGTGTTGTACTTTCGTATCCTGCAATTTTACTGTCATATGAGTGAATCAAAGAAAACCCTTATCGTTCCCTTCGAGATTAATAATATATATACAAAAATAATTATGTAATTACAAAAACTTAATTACAAAAGCAAGATAAACAAACAATAATGGCGACATCCTTATCGATAAATAGCTATCTATCTATTTCAGGCAACCTTAGGTTGAAGAGGAATAATTAAAGATGTGTCTGCAATAATTAAAAATCCATATCCTGCTCATCAAATTAAATAAGCCTTGGAAGCAACTCCCGCAAACTGCTTCACTGCAGAAAGACGAGTTGGACAGAGATACCTAAGCGAACAACTTGAACAGTCTCCCTTTGATAATTATTAGATTACCTAATTCAGCCTCTTCAGGTGTGTCAGTAGCTAAGTCAAGGTTGCTGGTGCTCGCTGGTAGGTCACGGCGTGGTGGCAGGTCTGGCGGCGCCGGCTCGGGCATGCCCGGTAGCGCGTCGGGAGGAGGCTGCGTTGTCGGGGGCGATCGCATACAGTACTTTATTGTGGCCAGCCACGATTTCATGTCATCTATGTCTTCTGCCTCTATTACATACTCCATGTTATTATCTGCCTGTAAATTGATAGAAATTAAATAATAATCAATTTGCAACTTCATCTATGTAGTGTCTATAAAGACATATTAAGGATTGCACACTACACGGTAATAAACGTCTACCCTCGCGCATCGCTCCCGCGATACTGACTGTTACTGTCATTTCTGACGTATGTACCCTCACGTATATACATCCTCGAGAAACTGTAGGTATTACCATACATTACACGGGGATATATTCATTAGGAGAGCAATATATGTTTTTCACAAAATACATCTATAACGAGCTTTAGTTGGGCCATTAATATTACAAGACAAAACAATAAATTCATTTTTGCATTTATAATATTAGCTATAATTTACTGGCTAAAAGTACTTTTTCTTGTCAAACAAACTAATGATTTTGATGATGATGAAGCTGATGACGATAGAAAGTGGCAACTGTTATCTACAGAAATATAGTATATGACTTCTTGTCACTATGTACATCATAATAAGTATGAACATATAAGGGTCAGTACAGATGTAACAAAATGCACTACAATGACACACTACAATATGCACTGAATTCTAATTTTAAAGTAGTTAAAATAACTATGTGATTTTAAAAGAGAGATCCATTTGAATTTTAAACAAATTATAAGACAAAAGACAGTGAGTTGGCAATATTTCTTAAATGTAACATGTAAGATGGCCTTAACATATTATTAACACATGATAAATCTCAATGAATTAGAAACATTGATAGATTGTAAAAAACATGGGCAGAGAACATGGTAACAACTGCTGGCAAAGAATGGATGGTCAGAGAAGAATAGAAAAAGTTGAAAAAAGGCTACATTTGATATCACTACTTCACTATAAGAATAATAGCTTTTATCTGTGACTTTGTACACATGATTGGGATATGTTCACTGACTTTTATAAAAAGTAGTCTATATCCTTTTCTATCATTTATATTATGTATATTACCAAATTTAATAATGCTTGGTTAAACCTTTAAAGTAACAAACAAACTCACTTTCACATTTATAATATTAGTAAAGATTATACAAATAAGTACTAACAGGAAAAAAGTGTGATATCTGTATTAATGTAAGAGACAATGCAGGAAGGTAAAAATGTTTATTATTTATTACAATTGAGAAAGAAAATACCTAAAACAAAAATAGAAATATATATTTTTGTGTATATTTTATGTAGGTATACATTTTAGTAAAATCCTAAAACAATGATCAAAAATTTTCTTCTTGCTGAGGCATTCCCTAAAGACTACAGCATGGCGTTCTTGAAAAAGGGTATATTAAGGTTTATATATATATATATATATATCTGTCACGCCTGTCTCCGATTAGGGTAGACAGAAACAATGGAATGCCAAATGATTCGATTCAAACAAACCTCTTTCGCTTCTTCCACATTCATCAATCTTTTCATACACGCTTGCCGGTTAAGGTTTCTTAAGGGTTGGAAATGGGAACTTGACATTCCTGGTGTTACAGGTGTCTACAGTAACCCTGTTTATAATCAGGTTTGCCAAAAATTTCTATACAATGCCTAATCATGTTTGCTATCAGCAATCTGTCTAATTTTCTTGGGGCCTTTCATTTTAAGGTAGAACATTGGGCTTAAGATTCTAAGATAAGACATTGCCCCTTAATACCCCAGCCTAGCTATGGCCATGTCTCTATATCAAAAGTGGTTCAGTGGTTTAGGAGTAAAAAGGTAACAAACAAGGAGACAAAGTTATTTAGTATTTTTAGTATTAGTAAACATTTCAAGCATTTATTTATTTGTACTTTATACCTTCTTTTGCACTTTTTATAGTTAAGAATATCATATTTTGTTCTTTTATATCCATTATAGCATAGGAATGGGGAGTGATAACACACTGCACTCTTGCATTATCACCACATGCAATGTGATAATGTTATACATGACAATAATTATGGTACATATTACAATAATAATAGTTCATTTTCTGAATAAACAATACAACAATTTAAATGATATATATAATGTACTAGGATTTTGCGCACTACTTAATATGTGTGGATTTCAAAAGTAAGAAAATCAATGAATTTAATCACTTCCAGATGGTACAACAAAATGAAATATACACCAGATTTTAAGTTACACCTTTAGAAATACAACTGTCAAAACTGCATCCAATTTCGTACAGTAGTTTTAGTTAATATCTAAACAAAAATAGAGACAGGCAAAAAATTATAGTTTCGGCTTCCACTCGTCTTATTAAGACCCCTCATATTAATTTTTCTTAAATATCTCCCACATGTACATGTTATTTATTGTTTAGTTAAAAAAATTTTATATTAATAAGATATTGATATCCTATGGCATCAAGAATATTGATGCATTGTGTTTCTTAATAAATTGTTAGTTTGTCATGTAATTCAAAATGGCAAGTTAGCTGACGGCCTATCTAATGGGAAGTAGTAACTGTTGTCTATACACATAAACAGTATCACGGGCATCACAAGATACACAATGATACTCAGGTCACCTGCAGCATTACTATTTATAAGGACTATGGTGTTGTGTCATCATATTCTATAATTTTACTACCACATCCCACCTTTCAAATTAAAATACAGATATTTCATAACAGAAACATGAGTGGGACAGAGGTACCCATGTAGATGACTGTACAAAGTCTTCTCCTGGTGGAAAATAAAAGCTTACCTTCAACACAAATGTATTTTCATGATCAGGCATTTCAAGTGCTGTTGTTTCCCTCGCCTCCGATATTAAAAAGCAAAACACTCCACTTCTAGGTTTTTGAGATTTAGGTGGTGAATAGAATTCAAGCATATAACCTCCTACTGTTTTCACTAGTGCCAGTCTACATTTCTCCCATTTTTGTGGACTCCCGGGCTGTTCTAAACTCTCAGGGGTCAGGTAATTAACCAAACCCTCTTTTCTACATTCTACAACTATCTTAGCTAATTTAGTCTTGTTATGTTTATTTAGATTAGAAGATAACTCCACTTCATCCGAGTGTTGTTTATGAAAGAGTCCTTTGCCTCTTCTAAGACCTTTAAAAGATAACCTTCTGAAAAACGGTTTGTGTTGCGTTTTAGGCGAGTCCATTTCTTCCGAGTAGTCACTCTCATCGTGTCCTGTGTGCGTTCCGTTCGGTATCTTGTGAAGAGCTTTCAATTTGACCATTTCGAACTCGAAATGCTCGGAAAAACATTCACAGAACCTCTTCATGAGTTCCTTGTTTGTTGCGGGCGGGCGGACGACGGGGTCATTTGTGTTGGTCTGTATGTACTGTATGCATGCCTTGGCGAAGTCCTGAGCGGCGGCCCGGGCCTGACGCTCGCAGAACTCGACCCAACCGTCGGCCTCGCCGTCGGACGGGCCCGCCATGGCAAGCAGTCTCTTTAGCAGCTCCACTTGGACTACGTTCTTGTACACGACATCAAAAATTAAATAACACAAGCAAATGCTCACTATTATACCCTCGTAGTAATTATCGCATTGGTAGATACTTTAATTTGCAATCAAAATAAAATTCACGATGAGACTCACACAGTTTGGCGAAAACAAGTTTTGTTGCCATGTAGAAAAAATTAAAGTTTATCAGAAACCGGTTATTATTATTATAATTTCAATTTAATTATTAATTATATTAAAATATTTTTTACATACTCTTTGTTTATTTATCTGTAATTAACAGTTATTAAATACACTTTATTAAATTTTAATTAAAGAATTTAAAAACAAAGTGTCAAAGTACGCATTTAAATTACTGCCATCTGTTAGATTTTTTTGTATCAAAGTAAGATGACAGCAATGACGATGCATTGTTTGTTTTCTAGATGTCGCTACATATTAAATGAGAGCTGATTGGCTTGCTTAGTTTGTAATTTTGAATACAGACTCGGAGACAAAAAATAATCACAAATCATTTTAATATACAGACTACAGAAACAAAGTTTTAAGTAAATGCCTTTATAGTTATCTTGATATTATTGGTATGTAAATGGCTCCGGAGATTGTAGAGCTTCGTTTTAATTTCAATTCAAACATAATTTAAGATTCTGTTCCGCATTATAATAGCGATTTCAACGGAGATAAAATGAATATGAGATCTACACGAGAGTAACCCTTATATATTGCAGAAACATTGATCACAATCATTTTAAAATTGCCAAAGATATTAAGTAATATTCCTATCTACGCACGCACAAAAAATTCCAGGCGAATTAAGAATAAGAACGTGCTTCTTTTTTTTTTATAGGCTTTACAATGCTGACAAGTATACGGTCGGTTTGATAGGTAATAAACGGTTACCGTAGTTTTATATACGTCTGAAACACCAAGGGTGTCACGTACGCATTTTTTATGCGTGAACATGGAATGAAATTGTTAGTAATGGGGACTAGCGGTCCCATTGCTATATCCCAGTAATGTAACTATGTCCCAGTAATATATCCTGTCAAGTCGACATCTACGCGGTTCCCTCTGGAAACCATCATGATGAATTCTTGTTGCATTCGTCACAATGGGCCAACTGAGCTGCTTTCGATAGCGCGGGTGAGGTTACTATTCCATTATCATTCATTAATAAAAAAGACCTGCTTTCATGCACAGTTATCATCCCTCACTGATGCCTCGCTAGCGTATACTGACAGCACAGGCCATAAAAAAAAATTCGTACGTGTACCCGATACAAAAAAAAAACTTGTTTTTGTAGAATTTGAATAGAATTATTTATATTTACAATTTGAAATTGTGCTCAGAGGAATTGTTCAGTATGATGTCCGCAGCCATTTTCTACCATCATACGGTTTGCCATCGACAGGGAGTTCACCCTCATATCCTATAGCCTAAATGGTCGCGTACAGCGCGGTTTCAGTGATGTTTTCTCTGAAACCAAAAAAACTGAATGAGCTGCAGGGAGCCGAGGTTTTCCCAAGAAACTACATCATGCGGTTCTTCAAAAGGGAGGTAAAGAGGTTTTTTCAGGGTCGGCAACGCGCGTGTAATACCCCTGGTATTGCAGGCGTTCATAGGCTATGGTAACCATTTACCATCAGGTGGGTGGGTGGTTATATTTGATTTCCACCTTAGTGGTATAAAAAAAAAACTATGATAGAAAGCGTTCCACAATCTAAATGCTCCTATTTGAAGTTCCTTAAACATATTGGAATAGGTAATTGAATTGTCAATAGTTTTTTTTTTATACTTCGTATAAACAAGTTAACGGCTCACTAATTATAATGGTAATTGCCGCTTATAAATTCGAAAAGCACAATGGTTACTATAGAGTACACTGTGATGCATATATTTCTGTGTCCAGTCTTTTCACTGCTATATCCCTGGTGGCAGACTAAGCATACCAGAGGTCTGAGGTAGCATAGCTGAATAAGGCCCCCAGTTTAAGAAGTTGATATTATTTTACAAGTTTTTTATTCAGTTCACATTTGTATGTATAAGTGTTTATATTTATTTAGTTAAAACCTTGTTAATTAAAAACAGCGTCTGATACAAAGAGTTCAAAACGCCTGTTGTTGATTTTATTTCGAAATTTCTCCCCATAGTCATATTTTACCCTACTTGAATATGGCGTCTATGCTTAGACGTAAACAGTCTATAATTTCCCTGTAGAGGGATTTAAAAAAGAAAATTACAGCTAGGTATGAATTATTTCTGTTTATTGGCAGTAGACGCTAACGACGCTGTTTGTCAAAGAAAACTGTATTTAACCCATTGAGCAATTAGGAAGCAATCGTATAATACAGTTATTTTTTAAATTTAGCCATAAACTTACCCCCTTATTCATAAAAACATAAACTTTCTACATATCTATTTTGTCACTACATATTTAAGTTACACTATTTTGTCATTACCTTTCAAATTAGGAAATCAAAAGAAAGAGACAAAACAGTGCCCAAAATAGGTTTATGAGAATTTTAACCTTTTTTTTTATGAATAAGACGTAAATATAAAATACTAAGTGTTTAACAATTGTTCAAGATTTTTTTTTTGTGCTATGTATTGGATTTGAGTTCCCAAGCGCAAACGCAAGTGCGTTTGCGCTTTTGGTGTACGCTCGCGTATGCCAAGGTTTGCAGCTGGTTGACTTATAATATGGATGATGGATTTGGGCTTCATCATTGAGTGGGTACTGAGAGCATGACTTTTAAGATGACGTTTCTGACGCGGATTGATGGACGATGAGTTATCATGATGAGTTTTACGATTTACAGGTTGACAGTTGATGGTGTCGATAGAAAATTTTGGAGAAGGTTTGAGAGTTTATGAAGAGGGTGAGTATTCAAGAATATATTTGAGACCTTGCCGAATGGTCTCTGATCATAGCGTGTTAATAGCCTGTTATTAGCAATATATTTACTATTTGTATACCAGGTCGATCTCAGTGTGGTGCTCTTTTGAACCCATCGTGGCTAATTGCTAATATCTTACTATGAGCCAATTGACATGGCTTTATCATCATCTATCATCATTCACTTATGACACCTACCTCACCACCTTACCAATATACACCAATACAGTAGGCGGTGTTTTCATTTGTAATTATCCATTAAACAAGTTTATCGATTAAGAATCATGAAAATCGGCCTGCATCTGAAATTACAGAATAGAGGGGGGAAAGGGATTGTTAGTAATGGGGTCTAACTGACCCATTGCCAGCAATACATCCTATCAGGTCGACCTTCACGTGGTTCCCCCTGGAAACCATCGTGATTTATTCTAGTGGAATTCATCAGGATGGGCTTGACTGAACTGACCTGCTTTCATCGTCACCTATCATTCCTCACTAGTGCCCCGCCAGTGTATACCGTTAACGCAGGTGGGGTTACCATTCCATCTTCACCTATTAAAAAAAAATACAGAATAGAGGCATACCTTACTCAGTGTTGAAAGCGCTATTTGGATCAATTGTTCTAAAATTACTCTTATACTTTTATGCTCCAATGGTACCCCGTTATTGTAGATAAATATAATAATATAGGTAATTCCATTTATTTATAAAAAAAAAATACACTGAATAATAACGCGCAATTCTCACATTATATTTATCAACCAACTTCAAAAAGAAGGAGATTTTCAATTCGGTTATTTTTTTTAAGTCCATAGTATCATTCTTATACAGAGGAAGAGTATGCATTATTAATATATCGTAATTTTAAATAAATGTTGACATAACATGAGAAATCGCTGTAGTCTTGTGTTATCATTGAGTTGTAGATACCACAGACGCATTTATGTAATTCTCTATCATCATCTTCCTATCCTTATCCCAAATATTATTTGGGGTCGGCGTAATATGGTTTTATCCATATTACAAAAGGATTTAGCTTATAGTTTTACGACCGGCCGCCTGCCTGACGTCAACCCTCTTTGGGTAATTAATGGGTAAGTAATGTAATTCTCTATATTGTAGAAAAATATTTTCATCATAACCTAAGCCTGCATCGTGTATGTATCCCTGCATATCCTAAAAGTTAATTGTCCATTGCTGAACATAGACCCGTCCTAAGGGGGTTTTGCCATTATTTGCCATGCTTGGCAGGCGAGATAGCAACCGAAATTAGGCTTTGGTGATGTTTTAAGAGGCACACTGCTGCCCAGCTCTCGATCATTAAGTTCCCTTAGTTGCCTCTCACGAAATCCACAGGAAAGGAAGGGTTGGCATATACATTGCCGCGACCACATTTTTTTATTTTTTTATTAGTATGAAAAAAAAAAAAGAGCTGTAGTAAGATTGCACTTTGTCAAGTCTTTACACTCACACAAAGTAGGTATTCAGTTATAGGATAAATGCGCTTTCAAGTAGAAGGGTACTAGAACTCCCACTATCTACATTGTATAAAGTCAATAAAAATAGTTACCCAACCTCTAGAAATACCCAAGGACCACTTACATGCGTCATCACGCATCACATCTACTCCCATAAAATCCGTCTAGCGTCGATCGTAAAGTGTGCTCACTCTTGTGTGTCAAATTTCCAATAATCTTATTTTGGCGCGCATCAGACTCTTCGATGACGGAAATATGGGAGCCATCTTGCGAACGACGCGCATGCGCCCGGCCGTTCACCTGAACCGCGACGATAGTTTTATGACATGCCAGCTATATTTGCACAGATAAAAATATTATTATAGCACGGAACACCTTGACCACACAAAGAAATATCGGTCAAAATAACGTTTTATTTTGATAAACAATTTAAAAAATATAACAAATATGCACTGCAAGTCTACGGCAAACAAAATATCGGTACCTTTATTTTACCTACATATTTTAAAGGAAGATATAATTAATAAAATTTTATTTATATGCTTATTGTTAATATATACACAAATATGAAGGCGTGTGTAACTGGAATCCTTTATCATAAATATAAGAGGATTTTTTCTTCATGATACTTCTTAATATAATATGCAATAGTTTGCTTAATATAATATGCTTTACCTAATTATTTGGATTATATAGCTATTGCAAAGTCGCGTGTGCGGTTGGCTTTCAACATTCCTGAGAATTTGGAACCTGATTTATGTACTTTATATAGAAAACAAATAA